CTAGAGTGTGTGATTGATTCATGGTGCAAGGCTGTGATTAAGGGTGCTAGGGTGATTTTTGGCACCACCTTAATCCTCGTAGTCTGGATACGGTGTAAGGGACAGAAAGAAGCTTATCTTGCCCCTTGCTTGCTTACTTTGCTGCCTTCTGCCCACCGTGAACTGTTTCTCTTCTGCAATTCCTGTCTGCCATGCCACCCTGCCTTGGAGCCAACCAGTTAGGGACTGAAGCCTCTACAAACTGTGAGCTAAATAAACCTGTCCTCCTTTAACTTGTGGGTGTTGGGTATTTTGTCTCAACAATGAAAAAAGTAACTAAGATAAACCTGATTAAGTCATTAAGGTATTAGTGAAATATTACTTTGTAATTACATATGTAGCATGATTAATACTAGCATTGGTGTATTCTGTGAGTTTGTAGTTTTTTCTTCATTTTTATTTGTCCAGAATATTGCCAGGGCTTTGACCTGTAATTAGCATTTCATATATGTTGCTATGTGAATACTTAATACTATTTAGTCAAAATAGTTGATTTATACAGTTACTTTGGTCATCATGTTTGTTCATATTTTAGTAATTTTTCAGACTATCTCTTACATAAATACAAGTATTTCCTTCTTTTATAGTTTGTTTTCAGTGGTCTTCTTGAGAATGGTAATTAAAGTGATAGTTTTTATTATTACTTTAGCAATCTTGAAAATTGCAGTAATCACTTGGCATCTGATAATATAGTATTTTAAATAGCCTTTCAAATTCTATAATTGAGAAGTTCTTTAAATTATAGCATTCAAAGTTCATTTGGGTATGGTACTGAAAATGTATTTCTTTTGTCGTTTTTCTTTAATTTCTGAGAGTGTTTTTAGAGATAAAGAATTTAGGGCCTTAGAGATGTCAAGTACTTGGACTAGGACATATTGCTGTAGTGTGTGATAGGCGCTGGATTTGATTCTGGCACTATAATTTCAAAGTCTACTACCTCTGCTGTCTTAATTACCTCAGTATCACCATAGTGAGGACTTTAGTAAAACTGAAGTTGGTAGCATTAGGCTGGGCATCCTCTGCTCTTCCTTGCCCCTCTTCTCCATACTGCCTTCTGGATTGTATTTGTCAGGCCTGCTCCTTGTGTAAGTTTGTCCTCCATTCTTTACATTAAAAGCCACTCAGTCAGTAATGCAGGTACTGTTTATTTTGTGCACCTGTGTCACTGCCTCAAGTGCTGTTGAATCGTGTACGTAATTCAAAACTTTCAAGTAATTCATTCAGCTAGGAAATCAAAGTAACATTTATTAAACAGATATAGGACAAGGAAGTGAACCACTGCCTAGAATATTAGTAGGAGTTATATAAAGAGGAAAATCAGGGGCTGGGGATTTAGCTCAGGGGCACAGCACCTGCCTGGTAAGCATAAGGTCGTGAGTTCAATTCCTGGTACCGGAAAAAACCAAACCAAACCAAACTAACAATATAAAGAGGAAAATCAGAGAGTAAAGCAGGAATGCTGGGCCTAATACAGGAAATTGGACCCTTTATTGGTGTAAATTGGTCTAATGTCATTGGTATTTTGAAACTTTAATGTATCAAGTAGTGTAAATTGGTACAGTAAACAGTTCATATAGTTTAAAAACTATGTTGTGCAAGGCTTAACTATGATATGATTGCTCTTTATGATCTATCAGTTCCTTTACTTTTTAATTATCTTATATACCACCAGATTCTTTCTTCCCATCAAATAATTTCAAAAAATAATTTTTGAAATTATTTTTTATTAGTACATGTTTCCAATACATAACTGTTATGTTTCTCATGGGAATCAGTACATATATCTAACACATCTTAATTTTTTTCATTCCCTTCCCCTCCCCCTTCATCTCTTGGTTCCCTTTGCATTTATAAAAGAGCTATTATCTATCTTTTATTTTACTCTCTATTTACATTTTGGGTTTCTTAGAAACCATATGATAAACTTATGTGTCTCATTTATTTCATTTAACAGTATGATCTCATGGTATATCCATTTTCCTAGAAATGACTCATTCATTATTATGGCAGAGTAGTACTCCATTGTGTATAAATACCACATTTTCTTTACTCATTCCTCTGCTCTGGAGACCTGTTAAGTTTCTTAGTTGACTATTTGAATCACTGGCTTACCTTGCATCCTCTCCTCTTCATTACATTTTTCCTTTGACAAACCTAGCTTGTCACCTTGGCTTAAATACTATGCCTTGTGTTCCTCAACTGCACCCAAATACACCTGGGGAGAAATACATAGCCATGCTCTGATATTAGTTTGAATTTTTGTCTTTTCAATTTAAGTGGGCCTTCAATGCTATGAGCAGTCAGGATGTGTTTACCTTGTCTGTATGTTCTTTTATTTTCTTAGAGCTATATTTGATGTCGTCTCTGCTCTCAAAAGTTACAGTGCATCCCCTTTCAACTGTGTTTTAGCTGATGGCTTCATACCCTAATTCTTTGGAAAAAAATAATAGAAGCAATGAAAAATAAATTTCTACCAGTTTCCACTTGCATTGATAGCCATAATTGTATCTGTACCTAAGTTTATCCTGTCTTCTCTCCTGCTCAGTCACTAAACTATATAGCCAAGAGCCAAATGTACCCATCCAGTGAACCTTTTCCCTTCTTGTCTAGATAGGAAAGATATTTTCTCCTTTCCTGTGTCATCAAATTACCTTGGATTTTTATTCTCAGAATTCATCATCTGAAAAATACTACTATATGTTAGGCACTAAGAATTGGCCAGTGGAGCTTGCATTCTAGTTGAGAAAACAGACAGTTAACAGGAACAATAAGATATCATAGATGCTAAAACGCTATGGAAAATCAAAAGTAGAGCCAGTGAAAGTTGTATAATCCTATCTAAGAAATGCAGACTGTAGTATTAAAAAGGATGGCCAAAAAAGAAGGATAGGTTTCAATATAAAGGTTAGATTTGATCTAAAACTTAAGGAAAGGAGGAAGTTATTTCTGGTGATAGTAAGGGGAAGGAAAGGAATGCTGGGCAGAGGGCGAACGTGATAAAAGGCCCAAAGCAGAGGGGGTGAAGCGCACTGTGGAGGAATGCAGAGAAGACAAGAGTGGCCTGAAAGAGTGCTAGGGAAGGAAGTCAGACCCTCAGTGTGCTAGGATACTCCCTGATCATTTCAAAGCTTTGGCTGTCTATTCTTAATGAGTTGAAACACTACTGAAGTTTTTTGAAAATGTTCATTTTAAGACTTCTGGTCATTGTATTGAGAACGGATTACAGTGGGGGGCAGGAGAGCTCTTCTGAAATTTTAGGAGATGACAAAGACAGTCTGAGGTAGTGGAGGTGGTGAGATGTGATCAGAAATTGGGAATATTTTGAAAGTAGATGCAACAGGATCTCTAGAAATGTGAGAATGTAAATGAAATGTAAGAGAGGACTCCAGAGTACTTCCAGGGTTGTAGCTTGAGCAGTTGAAAAGATGGTGTCATATGAAATAGACAAAGCTATGGCAGTGGTTGGCAGTGGGAGCATAGGTGGGAGAGATCAGGAGCTCATTTTGGGGCATGTCCAGATGTCTCTTAGAATATAATTTCTATCTTTAAGTAGCTTAGGCAGGCTGTCAACATCTCTTGAGTAGGGAGATTCTGGTGTGACAGCTGGGGAGGCTTAAGACATTGAGCACTGAAAATTTGAAGTGGGATTGTCTCAGTGGGCAAATCAAATAAAGGCATGTCTAACTATTGTGAAAAAGGGAGATCACGCTGTGTTCTAGTCTCAGTGATGGAAAAATTAGGAAAGCCAGGAGGAGGAGTGGATTTAAGGGAAAAGATACTGAATTTGGTTTAAGGTGTGTTGCTAGTAATTCAACAAGGTAAAAATGTCCACTGTATTTAGACAAATGTCTTTTTTCTTAAATGCTAGAGACGGTACCTATGCCCTTGCATATCCTAAGTCTGTGCTCTGTCACTGAATTACCTTCTTAACCCCTGACACGTATGTCTTAAAATTGAGACCCAAGATGGAGAGAAGCTTGGATTTCTATATGGATTAACTGAAAGGTGATGCTTAAAACCATCAACAAGAAATTGTAGGAAAGAAAGAAAGCTAAGCAAAGAACCATAGGTGAATGTTCCCTTTCAATAAGGATTCCAATAAAAAAATGAATGTGATGTGAGTAATAACTTGGACCTTAATGACATGATAGTTAATTGGAAAAGAATACCTTAATGACAGTGGTAGTTGATAGTTGTTAATATTGGAGAATGGACAAGGCAGATAAGCACTGATGAATTTGCTATCTAGGAGTAAATTAGTTTATTTCCATAGTACAGTGTCAGTAGGCAGCCCAATTTTTGTCTTGGTGTCTACTACCGCTTCTCTTTTAAAGTCTAATTTAACTGTACATCCAGTAGTAATAACTAGTAGTTATTGAATGCTTACTGTATGTCATACATTTTGCTAAGCATTACATGAATTTATTATTAATCTTTATGCCAATTCTGATATAGATACTATTAGTTTCTCATTTAACTGTTGAAGACCAGAGAGATTAATTTTGTAAAATTGTATAATTATTGGTAGGAAAAAAGTCCAAAAATCCAGGCACTGGTATCAGAATCCATACTTGTAAGTAATGAGAAGTGAGCAAGGAAGTAGTCATTCTGAGACCAGGTATTATAAAAAGCTTCATGAGAAGAATAGGATTTGATGTGGACCTTAAAGATGGGCCTTGCTTTGGCTGTTGAAGATTGCATATGGATGAGATAAAATAAATACAAGATATGAAAGACAGCAGGAACAGCTGGAACTATGGTGTTTAGTGGACTGAACTGGCCGGAATGACAGTGAATTGGAAAAGAATACTAAGATCAGTTTGTACATGGCCTTGAGCTGAGATCCATGGAAAGCTGTCAGGTAGTTGCTGTGTTTTGTTTAGAATAGAATTCCATAGTTTTCAACTAATTTACTTCATGATTTTAAAATGTGTATATTTAAAGAGATATTTTATTTCCAGAATGCCAGTTAATGAAAACAGAACGACCAAAGCCAAACACATTTATTATCAGATGTCTCCAGTGGACCACTGTTATAGAAAGAACATTTCATGTAGATACTCCAGAGGAAAGGTAAGAGACATACGTTTTTTCTATTCTGTGAAAAAGTAACAATCAATCTGAAGATGTATTTGTAACTAACTTCACTATTAGTACATAGAGGGAAATATATTTGCAGAATGCTATATTTCTTAATAGTTCTATTCCTAGCATGAGCAAACTCACTAAGGTTCACAAATTTAAAAAGACTGTTTTACAAAAAACTACATTTTAAAACATTATAGAATTGCTTATTTTCATATTTTTAATTCTGAGGCGGAAGTGATAGCAAAAGGTTACAAGTAGTGTGTCCTTACCATTGCAAGTAGCTGGTTGAAATACTGTGTTGAGGGGCTGGGGATGTAGCTCAGCAGCACAGTGCCTGCCCGGCAAGTGCAAGGTCTTAAGTTCGCTTCCCAGTACCAAAAAAGAAAAAGAAAAAAAAAATACAATGTGATTTGGAATAAGCTCCTTGGGGAAAGGCATTAGAGTTGATTGGCATTGACTATCATCGTTGCTGACAAGAGGAGCAGCAACACACTAACTCGTAAACTGCTTACCAGCTTTGTGTGGGCCGTATTTCCGTCCTGGTGACAGTCTGGTTTTGCAACCATTGTCTCATCGCCCGGTTCAATCTTAGTATTCTTGCACCTGGTGGCCTGAAAGTGAGAGCTGGAAACTACAGTCACAAGCTTACCTTCCTGCTCATCTGTTAGCATAGTTGTCCTGATGAGTAACTTGTGAAGTTAAATATTATTAACCTTATCTTCCAAATGATTAACATAAGTTTTGTGATGATAAACCTTTCTGGGTTCTTAATAAAGACCAAAGACTGTAACACTTTCTCACTAGACTGTAAACTTGGTAGCAAGGATCTTATTTTCCTTATTACAGGTGTGTGCACCTGTGCGTGTGTGTTTGTTGTCTTCAGCACGTAGTCTAGGGCCTAATACCGTATTTGTTGACTGACTGAATAAATGAATGGAACTTTCTCATGTCAGTATACATTCTTTGAAAATATCATTCTTGTAGTGGATTTATAGCATCTCATTGAAGCGTGACTCATTTTGTCATTTGTGTTTACAAAACTGGATTTCTGCCAAACCTTAAGATGCTAAAATCTTTTGCTGTTTCTATAATAATACCACACTACTCTTCTGAACAATCAGTTTTCATTTGTATTTATGACTAGAAGAAAATAGAAGATGGAGCTTTGGTAAAAATGTAAAGCGGCATATTTATTTTTGCCATTGGAGTGTATTCTTCTATATTCATCTAGCAACTGGTGTTTGGAGACTTTATGTAACTTTAATTTCAGTGGAAACATAAAGGCTAGTGAAAGTTACAAAAACTGTCCATTATCAGTATTTCTCCCAATCTGAAGTCCTTACATGTTCTTAACTAAATGTATAGCTTATCTTACATTTATTTCAATGCATAAGATTGGGTTATTTTTTCTAACTAGTGAGCCTGTTGTCTCAGCTCTTATTCAGCAGTCCATTGTTTTCTTAGAAATGATAGTATACAGCCCAGTACCCATTTACCAACCTTTCCCTGTCCCTACCTCCTCCCTACTGTTGCTGGCTTCTGCTTACCACCATTCCACTGTCAACTTTTTCAGATTCCGTGTGTGTGTAAGATCATACTGTACTTGTTCCTGCCAAACTCCATCTGTGTTGTCTCAAATGGTAGAATTTCTTTTAAGGCTGAGCAACGTTGCATTGTATGTGTATGTCATGTTTTCTTTATCTGTTCATCAGTTAGTACACAGGTTGTTTGCATCTCTTGGCTATTTTGAACAATGCTGCACTGAACATGGAAAAGCAGGTATCTGTTTGAGTAACTCATTTCAGGTTTGTTTTTTTTTTTTTGCTAAGTACTGAGAAGTAAGATAGCTGGCTCATGTGGTAGTTCTTTTTTTTATTACTTGGGGAACCTTCATACTGTTTTCAATAGTAACTGCACCATTTTACCTTCCCATCAGTGTTACATAGGGTTTCTATTTCTTCACATCACCACTAACACGTGTTATTTTTATTTTGTTTCATTTTATAATGGCTGTCTTAATGTGGTTTTTGATATGGCATTTCCTGATGATAGTAATGCTGAACATTTTTTTATATACCTGTGAGTCTTTGTATGTCTTCTTTTGAGAAATGTCTATTAAGTCTTTTAAGCATTTCAAAATGGGTTTTTGATATTGAGCTATAGAAGTTCCTTATGTATTTTAGATAACATAGTATTTTTTTGGGGGGAACCAGGTGTGGTGGCACACACCTGTAATCCCTGGAGGCTGAGGCAGGAGGATTGTTGTGAATTTGAGGCCAACCTGGGCTACAAAGTGAACTCAAGGTCAGCCTGAACTGCATAGCAACACCCTGTCTCAAAAAGACAAAATAAAAAAAATTGTATTTTTTTCAAATAATCTTTTCCTATTCCTTACATTTACTTTTCATCCTGCTGTGTTTCCTTTGCTGTGCAGAAATTTTTTGGCTGACTTGTCTATATTCTTTTTTCATTGACTCTCCTTTTTGTGTCATAGTAGCCAAGAAATAGTTGCCAAAACCAATGTCATGAGTTCCCCTGTGTTTCTCTTCTAGGAGTTTCATAGTTCCAGGTCTTATATTTAAATCTTTTTAAGTATGATGTAAAATAAGGGTCACAGTTCATTCTTTCGCATGTTGATACCCAGTTTTCCCAGCACTGTTTGTTGAAGAGACTATCTTTTGTGCATTATACAGTGTGGCACTCATGTGGAAGATCCTTTGACCACATGTGCATGATTTTATTAGCTCCATATTCTGATCCATTGATCAGTAGCATTATACCAGTAGCGTATTATTTTAATTACTCTTGCTTTAGAATGTGCTTTTAAGTCAGGGAGTATGATGGCTTCAGCTTTGTTCTTCTCAAGATTGTTTTGACAGTTGAGGGTTCTTTATGGTTCTGTATGAATTTCAGAATTGTTTCTTACTGTTTATGCAAAAATAGCTGTTGGATTTTGATAGGAATTGTTTTGACTCTATTGATCACTTTAGGTAGCATTGACACCTTAATAGTAGATCTTTCAGCCCAGGAACATGAATGTCTTTCCATTTATTTGTGTTGCCTTTATTCATTAGTTTTCATTGTACAAATCTTTTACCTCCTTTGGTAAGTTTATATCTAAGCTTTTTTTCTTTTCTTTTTTTTTTTAGCTCATAAATGAGGTTTATCTTAGTCCCTTCAAGCTGCTGTAACAAAATGTCTTGAACTAGGTAGCTTTTAATCACTAAAAATTTACTTTTGACAGTTTTAAGGTTTGGGAATTCTAAGATCATGGTGCTGGCAGATTAAGTGTGATGAGGGTCTTCTTTCTAGTTCATAGGGGATGATTTCTCTGTGTTCTCACATGGTGGAAAGTGCGAAGTTCTCTAGGTTCCTTTTTGTAGGGACACCGATCCCTTTCATGCGGCCTGAAGCCCCACCTCCTAATCCCATTAACTTTGGGGTAATGTGCCCTCAAATATTTATTCTTCTACAGACCTGCCATCTGTAAATAATAACAGTTTTGTCCTTTCCAGTAGTTTTATCTGTGAATTCTATTTTAAGGCAGGGTTTAAAAATTTTTGTGATTATAAATACATTCATTTTTTTCTCTGATTTTAGTGAATGTCCTTCAAATTACTCAGTTAAGTACAATTTTTATCATTACTTTATTATGTTGTACATGACCTCCCACACATTATTGGCTGAGATTGGTTTTCTTTTTTATGGCTAAATACTGTGTCACAGCCATTCCACTACACTCACACCCACATCCAGGGACACATCTCTGTGTGCACACAGACATCCCGTTTCCTTCCTGTTCTGTGTATATTGAATTACTTCTAGTCTCCCAAGTACTGATTCTATACCGTGCTTCACATCACCTGTAGTTTTCTTTCCTGTTTGTCCCTACTGCCCAAAATACCCAATTTCCCTTACCTGTCTTTTCTTCAGGTTGATAGTCACTAATATATCATGTACATCTTTGAACAGTCATCTGTTGTTTTGCTGTCATCACAAAGGTACCACTGTTTTTCTTAGAGTACTGCTGTCCTTAGTGAATACTTGTATGATTTTATCTTTAACACTTTATTACACTGATTTCATAGTAACACGTTTCTCCTATCAGACTGCAAATCCTTCCTAAGCCATTGCATATTTGAATTTTAGTAAAACACCTATTTAATTAAATATTCATTAAAAGTGAATGATCACTTTGTTAAAGTTGTTTTTATAAGTAGTATATAAAGAATAATTTGCTTCCTAAGTGTCTCATTCTCTGTCACAAATTGATTGCATTTTCATTTTACTTAGGAATTCGAAGATTGGTTACTTTTTGGCCTAGTATGCTTTTGTAGGCATTTCTCTCTCCCCCCAAAATGGTAAAAGGTTTTAGTTCAGTTAAGAAGAATTGGCGATTTGGGTCAGTAGTTCAAATAAGAACTACTAGTAAAGGACATCAAAATATTATAAGAAAAGGAAAGGCATCAGAAAGGCAATAGAACTGAAGTTTCATGGAACTAAAACTTCACAGGTCCAGTGTTCTTTTCCTCTGTCATACCTGGCACTTCCAGAAGAGAGTCCTAACGTTTGAGATTTTGACTAGTTCCCAGAGGCAGGAGCCACATTCTTGAATTCCACGGCCTGCCAAAGAAAAGGCCTTATAAACCACTGCATTTAGGGGTTCATACTTTAAAGGACTATACATATAAGAAAGGATAAATGGAAGTAGGTTTATTTTAGGAGAATAAAAGTCCAGCCTTAAATTACTTCAGTTGTGAAATTGGATTAGATTGATCTGGTTTTATTGGTCTCTTAGGAACCTGCTAAAAGCAACTGTAAATATTCTCTAAGAAAAGATTAAACCTAACTAAGCTTCAAATTATCTGATTTTTTTTTTTTTTTGCAAGCGGTTTCTAAGGCTCACCTAAAATTTTATGCACAGATTTATGACAGTGTGGCTAAAACCACAGAGAGGAGGGGCTGGGGATTTAGCTCAGCGGCAAAAGCGCCTGCCTGGCAAGCGCAAGGTCGTGAGTTCGGTTCCCGGTACCGGGGAAAAACAAAAAAAAACCACAGAGAGGAGAAGAAACACAGTAGAACCAGATTCATGGGGTTTCAAAAACAGAGTTATCCAGCAGTGATTAAAAGAACTATGGATTAGTACGTTTAGATATGTTAGAGCCTGGAAATTCAGCAGACAGATGGAAAATACAAAAACAGAACTAAATGAAAAATTTTAAAACTGTAATAAAATATTTGTAATTATGAGTGATAATGGTTTTAATACTAAATTAAGCTTCATATTTGGGGAAATTAATGAATTCAAAGAACAGAATATCCAAAATGAAACATGCAGAGATAAAGGATAAAAAAATAAAAATTAGAATAGAGTGTAAGATAAAGATGATGTAGTAAGGTGCCATACAGATACATAATTGGAGTCTCAGAAGGTGTGAGAGAATGAGGAAGACAGTGTTTGAAATGATAGTGATTGAAAATGTTCTGAAGGGACTAAAGATCGAACTACAGATTCAAAAGTCCTATAAATCCCAACAGGTAAAATATAGAGAAAACTCCTAGTCCCATTAGACTGTTAAAAACCAAAGCCGTTGGGAATGAATATATGTTTCCAGAGGATTAACAGACTGAAAAGGTGCTACGATAGTAGAAAAAAATTGGCATGGAATACAGTAATAATTAGGGATAATGGAATGATATTTCCAAAGTGCTGAGAGAAAGAAAATTCTAAGAAAAAAATTTTTCCAAGAACAAAATTAAAAATATTTTCAAGCTGAGCATGATGATTCATGCCTGTATCTCATCATTCTGGGAATCTGAAGCGGGAACATGGGAGGTTCAAGCCCAGCATGGTCAGCTTACCAAGACTCTTCTCAAAACATGAAAACATTTTTTTAAAGGGCTGAGGAAGAGGCTCCATGCAAAGGCTCTGGGTTCAGTCTCCAGGAGTGCATTACAATTTTTTTTCTCAGTCAGAGACTGTAGAATTTGTTGTTAGCATACGTATACTGACTAACTGAGTATTCTGTAAACCGAACAAAAACAGTCCTAGATGGAAGGAGAAATGCAGAAAGGAATTAAAAATAATTAAAATGGAATGTAAGCCAATAAACCCAAATGAGTATTGTTGTTTTAAATAATAATGATGTACTTTGTGTTTTACTTGCAATGTTGGTAGAGAGGAGAACTATTGAGGAATAAACTATATTTGTGTTGATTTCACATTTCGTAAAATTTTAAAAATCATTTGTCATCTTCTGTTAATGGCACATTTCACTCATTTGAATAGGGAAGAATGGACAGAAGCTATCCAGGCTGTAGCAGACAGACTGCAGAGGCAAGAAGAGGAGAGAATGAACTGCAGTCCAACCTCACAAATTGATAACATAGGAGAAGAAGAAATGGATGCTTCTACGACCCATCATAAAAGAAAGGTAGGAAATAAGGAAGACTCACTCTACTCAGCGCAGCATTTATTTGTCTGGAGGAAATATACTAAAAATTCTCATTTGCAGAGATATCTCAGTCAGTTTTCGTGTGATATGAGTATGGATGGGTGTTTTCTCTGCTTGTGACTCTGAAATGCCTTCTTTAAAACTAAATAATTGACCAGCATTTTTGTACTGAATGCTGACAGTGCTCTTGAGGGACTTATGATTGATGCACCATCATACATCTTCATAAATTATATTTCCCCTTGTTTTTAACACCATTTTAGAAACTTGGGATTAAATATTTTCTTTAACGATTAGGTTCTTCTCCATTTGGCATTCTGTTTCTGAGAGCCAAAGCAAAAATGGCTGTGGTGGTCCTGCTTGGTCTCTTCAGCCTCACTAAAGTCAGCTGGGAAGTAAACAGTCTTAGAAATAATAGCTTTTCTTTTAATGACTGTTCTGAGCCCGTGAAGAGAATGGGCTTTTCCTTCCCTCACTGCTACAGAATAATAAGTACAAAGTAGTATTTCTATGGGAAATATAAATAATGTTTTTCACTGCTACACAAAATGGAAAAAACAGCTTCCTTAATTAGGTAAAAAAATGATAAATCCCTAATCTTAGCAAGATTTATCAAGATTAAGGTGTTGAAAAGAGATAAGATGTATCTGCTGGTATACAGTTGTAATCCTAACTACTCAGGAGGCTGAGTCAGGAGGATCACAAGGGCAAGCCAAGCCTAGGCCACTTAGATAGACACTGTCTCAAAATAAAAAATGGACTGGGGAGGTAGTTCAATGATAAAGCCCTAGGTTCACAAAAAGAGACAGAGACAGAGGGAGAGGTCAGTACTGTTTATATAAGAATATGTTTGCTGTAACATAGATAAATGAATCTTCAAGTAGGAAAACACAAATACTCTGAGTATTAGCATGAAATTTGCTTTCTGGGGTGTTTTTGTTTGTTTTGGCATTGTTGGGGAGTGAATCCAGGACCTTGCAGTGCTATGGAAGTGCTGTACTGAGCCATGCCTAGAGCCCGAAATTAGGGTTAGCACAGTGGTTAAAAACTTTCTGGAGTTGAACTCCTGAGTTCAGAACTTCCCTCTTCCACATGCTAAGTGTGTGAACTAAGTGGATTTATATACTCAGCTTACAAAGTTAGTTATTCTTTCTTTAAGTTTTTGTCTTTATTAAGATAATTTATGCTTGATCTTGGTCACGTGTCTGCATACTTTTGCTGTCTTCTTTGAAAACTTACCTCCTTTTTTGGTTGAATCAAGTATTACTTAAGGCACGTTCCTCAGTCAGAAAGAAAAGCTCCCCTAACTTTACCCACTGAGGGATAAGAATGCTGCTCTCACAGGTGTGTATGCTCAGGTACACAATGGATTTGACATTTGACTACATTAGCAAATTTAAAATCAGGTCACCATTAATGTCTGCATTTGAATTGTAGTCTGTCCTGTTCAAAACTAAGCTGTATCAGCTCTACCTTGTTAAATTTTGTAGAATTTCTAAAAATCTTCTTAACAGATTAATAAGATACTGTTAAGAAGGAGGTTAAAAATGGGGAATTTGCAACACCCTACCTTAAAGTGCTATGTCTAATGGATAGAAGAATTTTGGAAATGAATGTGGAAATTTGTCAGAAAAATTTGAATGAAGAGACAAAATTTTAAAATGTATGAAAATGGAAAAATATGCAAAGGAATTTTTCTATTAAGGGTGTTTACAAGTTATTATAACGGCATAATGATTTTCCTCTTTTCACAATTATCAGTGTGAATGTTCTTATAATTCATCCTCATTACTGACTATCCTGTGTAAGCATTTATTTTATATTTGTTTTGTGGTACATCCTGAGCAGTACTTTGGTATGTATTATCTCATTTCTTCCGCATAAGAGTCATCTGAGGTAAGTGCTATTCTTAACCTGTTTCATAGGTGAGTCATCTATGGTGGCCCATTCATGTAATCGCACCACTCCGGGAAGCTGACACGGGAGAATTGCAAGTTTGAGTCCAGTCTGGGAAATTTTAGAGACTTAAGGAGACCCTGTCTCAAAATACAGTTGTCACTGGGTTCTCAGAGGAGTTGAATATTTAATCAAGCATGGATGATCTTTTAATTATAGACTATACAGCTTCAGTGTACAGCTTATTTCTTTTTTTTTTTGGTTCATACATATAAATCTGTAATTTCTATAATTATACCCAAGTTATATTAGAAATAAAATTATACAGATTATATTCATGATTATACTGTTTCTCAAAATATTACAGAGAACTGTTGAACTTAACACAATGCTTGTATATTAGTTAATTTTGTCTTATAATAGACCCTCTTCAAAAAGTCCACAGAATGTTAATACTTTGAAATAGTGGTAGAAAGTGGGGACCTCAGCGTTTTGCCTGGGTCAGCGTCCCAATTCCTGGCTGTGTGTGTGATGATGGGAAAGGTGTCTTCCATGCATTCATCACTCAGGTCCCTCACCTATAAAAGAGGGATAATAGTGGTACTTAAGTCATAATTGTATGGTTTTAAATGAGGGACTGTGTAAATGTGTCAAGTGCTCATAAGGTACATATATAATGACTACTAGCCATTAGTGTTAGCTACTGTCATACTTTCCCTCATGAAGATTATATCTTTCCAAAACAGATTGTCTTAAAATTCTTTACCAAAACTGAGTCTCCAAAATGAAAAAAAAATTGATAGAAATACTTTTAATTTATTTGCGGCTCACTACCTTAGCATATCTGATTTTCATTGTTTTTGATTTCATTTTAAATGAAATAATTTAAAGCAGCTTTGAATGAAAGTATAGAAAAAAAAATATTTGTACCACATCCTATTATATCATGGATGTAACGACAACTAAATATGACAAAATATTACTGTGATTTCTATGAAGAGAAATGGCTTTTCTAGAATGGTATCCTTTTCAAAAGTTAGCAGGTAAAGAATTGTAGACTTTCAGATTTTTTTTTTAATCCTGTGACAGATTAGAAAACAATCATACCCTCATAATTTACAGGGCACATTTTCTATTCCACTTTTTGAAAATAGGCAATAGGATTAAGAAAATAACTCCTGTCTATTGATTATGATAGCTACACTGAAAGTGGTCTTTATCTCTGTCTCTTGGAGCAGAAAGTTGATTACTTAGCATAACTGAAATGCTGCCATAGAATCAGCTCTGCCAGTTAAAACTCTGGGAGAAGAAAGGATAAGGTGGTAGAGAAAGGAGACAAGGGCTTCGCAGCCAGATTTAAATTAAGAATTGAAAGATGATATTTCAGAAGAATTTGAACAGAGTGTGGTGGCGCATGCCTGTAATCCCAGCCCTCGGGAGGCTGAGGCAGGAGGATCATTGTGAGTTCCACGCCAGCCTGAACTGTATAGCGAGACCCCATCTCAAAAAAGACAAAAACAAAACAAAGCAAACAAACCACAGAGCAATTTGTTTAGAGGACTCAAAAGTGCCTATTCTTCTCTACACCAAGTTTCCAGTCTTACATACCCACCCTGTCAGGTATGTGAGGGAGCATAATACAGGAGGATAAAAAGTTAATTGAAAAATCAAAGCCTACTCAATTTTTAACTATTCAGTGCAGGCCTTTCTGGAACCAGCCGTTTACAGGGATTTAAACTATAAACAATCCTTGTATAATCCTAGAAAAATCTGACTCTAATTCTTGGGATTTGACTTTATCACCTCCTGCCTGACCCTTCTGTATTAATGCACAGCAATGGCTAAGATGTAGAGAAAGAGATGGGGAGGTAGAAACTGGGATAGTAGGACCTGCTAAAATCACAGGATCTCACACTTGAATCTGCCTCCTGAAGAGGGAGGAGTAGCATAACCCATGTCAGAGAAGTTGGCCAGGGATGTAATTGAGGGAGTGGAGTGGCTGCGTGACCTGAGTGAAGGGTATCCAGGGATCTGTCCTTAGCTCACCTCCTCTGGGAGGCAGGATGTAGTCCAGTGCTGTTGAAATATTAGCTTCACCTTCTCCTGGTGAGCAGCACTGCAGGATGTGGACAGAAGGTAAACTTGATAATCGTCCTTCTCCCCTTTATACTTGTTTTGTTTTTGATTTTTAAGTCTAGTTTGTAGAGCCATAATCTTTTTTCCTTACCTTCTAGATGTGTGTGAATTAAATATATTAAATACTTACGACATATATATCTCTTCACCTAAAGCAGCCACATTAATAGGCAGAAGAAGCAGTATACGGCTGGAGATACAGCTCAGCAGCACAGTGCCTGCCTGGCAAGCATGAGATTATTGAGTTCGATTCCTGATACCAAAAAAAAAAGCAATATAACAGTGTAGAATATTTCCCTACTAAATTCTTAGGATTGGGTTTTGGAGAATTAATTTTTCTAAAGAGTATCCATGTGCCCATTTTTTTTAAATTACAGTCTTATTATATCTTTCCCTTTAACATTACCCAAAAGAGAAAAACATTTTATAATAGCTCATATTTCATTTTAAAGACTAGGTAATTACTGTGTATACCGTTATGAACATTAGTATTTGGTATAAAAGGTAACATTTTAATTTTTTGAAGTTTTGTCAAAATAGATGTGCAATCTCTTTTTGATTATATCACGTAGAATGCTTTTTAACTAAGATTAATTACGTTTTTAAAAATTCCTTTTTTAAAGGATGAAACATTGACAGAAACTTTGAAATGAAAAAGGTAAAGCTGTCATAATTTCTGACTTCATTGTCCCTAAGACTTGCAGTCCTTGGGAATATAGTAATATCATATAATTATAGGTTGCTTTTCATCTGAAAATGTCATAGAAAAGTTCAGGATTCAGTTCTAGTTTCTGTGCTATTTAGTAAGAAGACGCAGTAAGTGTTATTTTCTAGTACTTTTAAGTGAAAAAGGAGGCAGGTATTGCTTAAATGAAACTTTGAACAATAAAGTGATATTATGACTAAGTTATGAGAATATTGTCTCTAATCTGTTCATTGCCATGGAACAGACTGCCCCAAGTTTAATGTCTTAGACATTAACAGCAGTATGTTGTTTCTCATGATTTTATTGTTTGCGGGCAGTTCTGCCCGTAGATCTCTCAAGTGGCTGCCGTCAGCTGACGCATGGGCCGCCCTGAGAAGTCCAAGAAGGCCTTCCTCACATACATGGGGAGTGATGCTGACTTTTAGCTATGGTATTCGTAAATCTCTATCCTGAGTTTACATTTAAGAAAGTAAACTGAGAGTAGAGTTGGGTTCCTTTCAATCAAAAGCCAATTGACATAATAGTGAGGGGATTTTAAAAGGAGACAAGTCCTCAATGTGAAAGCTGGGTGAAGGAAAGAGGTACAGTAATAAGCAAACAGGTTTAGAATTTTGGAAGTTTGAGGAAGACTGTTGATGGGGAGAGCAGACCAAAAGTCTGCAGAGGGGAATTGTAGAGAGTAAGTGGTAATCTACCTGGAAAGATCTTGAAAGTCACCCAACTTAGAAATAGGAATGAAAAATGAAATTCAAAACAGGCAGATTCATTAAAAGACATTCTTCTTACAGGTACCTGCCTTTCTGGTCTGAATTGCACCAATTGTTTTCTCAGATGTCACTTCCTTAGATTTTTTTTTTTTTACTGAGCTCCAAGATTGTTCTCAACATTTTTTATAAGCTTATCTTTTCCTTTCTTGGGTTCCACTCTTATTCTGCTGCGATACATTCTTACATTGCTCCTTCAGCCAGGTGTGATGGTGCATGCCTGTAATTCCAGCAACTGAGGATGCTAATGCAGGAAGATTGCAGGTTTGAGGCCAGCCTGGGCAACTTTGCAAGACCCTATCTCAAAAAAAAAAAAAAAAAAAAAAAAGGTTTTGCATAATATGTATAAGGTCTTAGATTCCTCCCCAGTACTGGAGGAAATAAAAAGCTTGTTCAAAAGTGTAGCTCCCTTAAGGCATATTTAGAAATGTTGTGTGGGGCATTTTTGATTAGCAGACTATGTTCTGAGGGTACCAGCGCTACACTAAGCCCTTAGAAATAGTTGAAAATGATTTTTCTAATGTGATGTTTCATTTGACTGATAAATTTGACTGGCTATAGAATAAATTCTAGGTTCACAATAATTTTCTGCACTATCTAGAAACTGTTTAAATTACTTTCAGCATCCTTGATTGCTGGTGAGACAGCCAGTATATCAATCTGATTCTTTTTTCAAGAATTCTTAGAAATTGTAAAATTTATTTTTGAGTGGACATTGCATATAGATACATACATGCAACCAGTAAATTATATCAAATATTTCATTCATATGAGATCTTTTAATTTGTGTTTTCCAGACAATGAATGATTTTGACTATTTGAAACTACTAGGTAAAGGCACTTTTGGGAAAGTTATTTTGGTTCGAGAGAAGGCAAGTGGGAAATACTATGCTATGAAGATTCTGAAGAAGGAAGTCATTATTGCAAAGGTAAGTGATCACAAGAGTTGGTGACTACATTTTTCTTTGCAGTGAGCATGTGTTTACTCTGATTACTTGTGTAGTGATAAAGTGTAGAAATTCCGTAAAACATTCAAAATATTTATGGTAGGTTACTGCTACAGTAATATTTATCTATCAGTGTTGATAATGTTAAGATTTTCAAAGTTTGTAGTAAACATAAGTTATACTGAATCTATTTTATTCTCTTAGTGAAATGCAAATTCTTACATTTTGTGTGCTGGGGAGATTGTTTTTGCTATATATTTGTGCTCTGTGTTATTAACTTTGCTGGTATTCCTTTTTAATATTTCCCCCAATGTTCTAAATTTCTTCATAAAAGATTGAGTATAATAGTATAAGTGATTTTGTACTCTTAGCTTACTGAGCTAATATAACATTGAGTGGGGAAGCATGCTAAATAGATTTGGAGATATTAGAATAGTGAAGCTAAAAGAAACAATAGTCTTTGAAATTTTTTAAGAGTGTCAGTCCCTTACCTCATAACCTTATTTATCTTTCTTAATATTAATTTTTATTGGTTCATGTTTCAGTACATGATGATTACATTCATCATGGAGAGCTTTTTAGTTTTTTTTTCCATGTTAGCTCTTTACAAATATTTAACACATTAATAGAGTAATTTCTTACTCAGAGATCTACACTGAGGAAAATTTGGCATACTTTACAAATTGGTATTTGCTGTCTTAATCAACAAATGACACATAATCTTATGGCACATTTTATAGACTACTTTAACTTTCAGGTACTTTGAACTATAGTTTCCTCATTTGTAGTGTATTGCTGCATATACTCCATGAAACTACATTCCCCCATCATGGCATATTTGAGTCAAGCTTAGCTCCTCAAGTCCACATCTCCTGTTAGAATATCTTGCTTTGTAATTGTAGAGGTCTGCATTTATATCTTAATAACCTTGAAAAACCAGGTTTTTTGTGGCGTACTCTCTAACTGGTATTTAGATATATTGGAGGGCGTATTTGCTCATCACAGTGGCTGAGGCTGAGAGACACCTAACAATTACCAGATAGAAGCTAAGCATTCTGAATAACTTGCCACATGTTGCTCAGCCCCTCGGAGCCTTAGTTTTCTCATTTGTAAAATTGATACAATGAAACCCACTGGATGGGACTGTTATGAGGATTAGGATAAGTAAAATATTTAGCATATACACTGCACTTGTTATTAATTAAACTGATACACTTTCAGGAGAGTAGTACAGTATAGTAAGCTCTGTCACTAAATGATCTCAAATTACTAAACTTGTATACCTTTATTTCTTTATCTACAAAATGGGGATGATGACGCTTATTGTTGTTGTTAGGTTTAAATTAATAAATGTAATAGTATATGCCATCATACTTAAGCCTTGTAAGTTACATATGGAATAAATTTAAGATTAGAACAGTATGAAAATAAAATATAAATTTTTGCTGTTGTTACTGTAACTACCTACTGTGTATCAAGCATCAGTAAATAGTGTTCAGTTCTGTTTTTCTCTTAAGGTCTGGCCTTACTTGGGCTCCATGGTCTAACTTTTATCAGACTTGAGAAGATCCAGTCAGACACTGCATGATTCACTAATTACTTGTACTTTTTTTAGTATCTGTACATATTTGGGTATATTTCACAAATGGTAGACTATCATGATTTATTTAGTTCCTACCTGTTTTCCCCAACAAATCTGTTTATCAGTTTCTTAAAAGAAAGTACATGTACTCATAACAAAATGATCAACCAGTATGAAAGTTTGGAATGAGACGAGAGCTGAGATTTAAATCCTGATGTGTTCTTCTCAGAACATCATAGCAAGGAGAAAATGATGTTCTCTTACTGGTGACACTAACTTTTTTCCCTTTTTTAAAATAGTGTCTGCTGTTTTTTTTCCACTATACAAATTATTTTCCCTTTGTAATTATTAAATATATCTTAGGGGAAATACTCTGAGACTATGCAGATATCCTGTTTCTTTTAAAATGTTTTACTAATTTTAATATCTACCAGTGAATCTTGTTTATAGTGGTTATTGCTGTGGCGCTCTAATTATGATTTTCTATTCTCCTCATTCTTTATCTATTTATTAAGTTAGCTGAAAATTGGTCTAATCTATTAATCTTTTCAAATAATCAACTTTTCATTTTGTTCATTTTTTAAAATTACTTTCCTATTCTCATATTTATTTTTGACTTCTGCTAGCTTTGGTATTACTTTGTTCTTTTTCTGTTAGTACCTGAGGTTATAAGTTAGGTTGTTGACCTGAAACCTTTTTATTTTTTGGTAGTACTGAGAATTGAACACAGGTTTCTCACACTGAGCTACATCTACGGCCCCATCCATCCCTCCCTTTTTATGAGACAAGGTCTCAATAAGTCAGTAAATTGCCCAGGCTGGTGTTGAATTTGAGATCCTCTTTCTCAGCTTCTCAGAATGCTGGGGTTACAAGCATTCACTCCTATGCGCAGTGATCTTTGTGCTTTTTTATGTAAAGATTTATGTAAGGGATGGTCACAAAACATGGTGAATACCATAATTTACATGGTAAATTTTTTTTTAAAATTACAGTAAAAGAAACATTGCCATTAATCCCTTGCAGAATAGTCTGAAGCAGTTCTGGCAGTCATCTTTCATGTGATAAAAAATATGAATGCTACTGCCATATGCCACCCAAAAGAAAGGTAGGCTGGAACACACTACCGTGTGTCCTTATGTCCTTTATCCACCAGATTTTGTTCTGCAACTTTTGGCTTTTTCGCAAAGTAACAGAAAGGTGAACATTTTGAATCAGTTCAAGACATTGAGCTACCACAGCCAAAGACATGAAAAAAGGAAACTTTCTCCACAGCTCTGTTCCTACCACCTTTCATTTATTAGTGTGTTAAAATTATATCTTTATGTATTGTGTCTAAAAACAGAAACTGCTAATTCTTAAGCACATTCATCTCTTAAATTACGTAGGAAAAAGGTGACATTAAAATCCAAGGTTATAATAGTAACTTTTGTATTTGCCATGCATTTACATTTTCTAGAAATCCTAACACAAATTTAAGTTACAGTCTAACATCCTTTTGTTTCAGTCTGAAGGACCTCTCTCTGGCATTTCTTACAGTGTACCTCTTTGTACTAAGTGAATTGCTCAGTTTCTGTTCTGCATGAGTGTGTGTGTGTGTGTGTGTGTGTGTGTGTGTGTGTGTGTGTGTGTGTTGCTCTAGGCATGCAGCCTAGAGCCTTGTATAACCCTAGGCAATTGCCACTGAGCATTGAGACTAGGGAAGACCCCTAGTCTCCTCCTCATTTCTGAACAGTACTTTTGCCAGATACAGGATTCTTGGTTGATTTTTGTTTTTCCTCAGCACTTGGAATGTTACCAGCCTGCTCTTTGACCTCCTTTGTTACTGAGGATCCTTTGAATGAGTTACTTCTCTCTTGCTACTTTCAAGAGTCTGTTTTTTAATGGTTTGTGTTTCTTTGTGGGTTATATTTATCCTGCTTGGTGTTCATTGAGCTCTTGGATGTTTATATTCATTTCTTTTATCAAATTTGGAAGATTTCAATCTTTGCTTCTCTTAGTTCCTAGTACTTCTACAATGCATGTATTTGTCCGCTTGAGGCTGCCCCCAGGCATCATCACTTAGGGTCTATTCCTCAGTTTTATCTTTCTGTCTGCTAATCTCTTTCATCTCCTTACTCAGTTCTGGTTTTGAATTGCTCCAATGATTTTTCATTTCTAAAAATCTGTTAGCATGGACCACAGTACCCAAAGACACTGATGTGCTGCTGTAAGTCAGAGTCTGCTGTTCAACCTTCCATTCCGATACATCCATCTTACAAGTGTTTTTTTATGGCTCAAATCCAGCGCTAATCCTAGTGGTAAAATTTGTATTGTCCAAAACCCAAAAATCATGAGCCGGTATGGTTCTTTATTGTACTTCCATGGGAAAGAAATATGAGCAGTGAGTTTTTAATTCCCTATGAAATCTCATAAATAGCTCCTGGTAAATTTATTTATCAGAATTTTATAGTTTGGGTGAACCTTTGGATATTTGATGTATTTATCCTCTGGCCTCCAGAATTCATGTGTCACTAGTACATCTAAGTCAGTCTAGCTTGTTTGTAAGTTTCTTATACTGTCATAATATCAGTGCAGTACCCTTTCATAATCAGGAATCAGTATCAAGTTAGAATCCCTTCTAAACAAATGATGATAGAAAGTTAGTGAACCCATATAATAATAAGGTATATTAGATGAAAATTGGGATCATTCCCACTCAAAGACATACTAGGTTTGTTTCCCCTGAAATTAGAACCAATAAAAAAGTATTATCAACATCAAACAGGAATATTAGTCTCCTTTAGGTCATTGTAGTATGGGCACTGTTGAGACCATACCAGGTACTGCTGAGGTTATAGATGATGCTATGGACAAAGCAAGCAGCATTCTTCTAGAGTAGGGTACAGTAGAGTACTAGAGTACAGTAGAGTACAGTAGCTGAGGTGTTCCCTAGTCAGGTATGATATCCTCCCCAAAACCCTACTTCTGATACCAGCTGTGTCAGGGTCCCCTGAGAACACTTTCTAGTGTTCAGAAAGTTTAATGGTTTCTTTCAGTGTTTCAGAACTCACAATATGTAGAAATGCTGATATGTACTTAAAACTATAGCTTTTTTATGGTGGCATGATACTAATTAAGGTCAGGAAACAGTATATGGGACAAAGTCCAAGAGAGCCCAAAGAGAAACCTCTGGCTAACAACTCTATGTGATGGTGTTTCTCAAGTGTTGTCAACCAAAGCAGCTTACCTGAGCCTGGTGTACAGTGTTTATTGTATGTCAGACACATGGGCAGGCTGAACCTGAGTCAGATGAACATCTTTTTGACACCCATAGTACCCAGTTTTAAGTGTCTGTTTTTATTACAGCAACATAAAACAGACTAAAGCACAGGATATTTTAAGAGCTCAGAGCTGACCAAAAGCCAGTCCTGAAGATTGGCCTTCTTGGTGAATAAGCAAGGCTTGAGCAACTCAGCCCTGCTAATGTAACCCTTTCCTACACATATACCTGTTATAAACACAATGTCAACTCAAAGTTTTCGATCAATCACTGGCATCTCTTTCTCTTTGGACTTAGTTACTGGTGAACCCTAGCCAGAAGCTGCTATTTGCAAGGCTCTTTGATCCTCAGCTCTTTTTATTTTTTACTTTGAGATAAGGTCTCACTTAAATTACTAAGTTGCCCAGGCTAGACTCGAACTTGTAATCCTTCTACCCTAATTTCCCAGAGTACAGTACTTGGGATTATAGGTATGTGCCACCATGACTGCCACTTTTGCAGTTTTAAATAAAGTGATGATGGAATGCTCACTGGAAGTGGAAATTTCAGTCAGCATTTGGAGGGGATAAGGAAGCAGCTTTTGAGACATCATGGAGAGAGAATGTTCTAAGTAGAGGCAGTTGTGATTGGGAGGGCTCTGAGGAAGGAACATGCTTTGCATGTTTTTTGAATAGTGAATAGTGTGTCTACCATAACTGGTATAGAGAAAATAATGTAGGATTAAATGAAGTACTTGTGGAGACTGTACTGTAAAGATAATAGTTATTACTCTGAATGAAACAGGAAACCATTGAAAAATTTTAAGCAGTATAATAAAATGATCGAATTTTCATTTCAGTAGTGTTACTTGGCTGCAGTATTGCAAATAGATGTAGAAGATGAGTACTAAATTGTAGAGTATTGGGAAAATAAATAGGAGAAAGAGGACTGTTCTGTGCTCCTGTCTCATGTCCTTAAGAAACAAAATCTCATTCCATAAATCTATTCCATAAAGAAGTTAGATGTAGAAATTCATTATTTAGGATTTCACTGTGGATGAATATATGGAAGTCCATATTTCAGAAGCAACTTTTATTATATATCCAAGCACTTCTAGGACTCTTGATTTATAATTAAGATCAGCTAATGGATTTTTCAAAAAAGCATTACATTGTTTTAGTCACTAAGTTTTATCACTGTTATTTTTATCTTCTTGTTTTGACATGTTGCTTTTAACTGTAATTAAAAATCATTGGCATCTGTGTTTACTTTTTAGCTTGTGCATACCTTATCTTTATAGCAGAAACTAATTAATATGTGAAATATAGCTCATTAAATTTGCATTAATGGGAAAAACTAATCAGATATAAAATATGGTAGAAAATGCATATATGATGTATGCACATTCATTCCAATTCCATTCCCACGACAAAGAACTATTGTTTTAGCTTTTGTCTCCATACATCTTTACTTGGCTCCTTCCATGGTTGCACATACTGTAGAATTTAGGAAAAAAGTTTTCTTTCATGAAACTTACTAAGAAATTTTGAAATGTAACTATCATATGTGATGGGTTAGTGTTTACAAAATAGAATGAAATATCCATAGAAATATTTTCTAAAGCACTGAACTATGTAGTTCTCAATGGGTTTCAATACTCACTGTTTTTAGCCTTTCCGCGATCTAGTAACTCGAGTTACTTAGCATCCCAAACCGATCTTCTGTCTCCTGTGCATCTCCTCCTCACTGCTCGTAAAGGCATGTTTGTTTAGATTCACTCATGTTGGAGGCATGTCACTTTTAGATTGTTTCTGTTGATTTTAAATCTCAAAAATAGCATATAGCTTAAAATTATTCCTGGTTTTAGTTCTTGCTCCTAACATAGTATACCAATCATCTCATTTCTTGGAGTACTATAATAGCATCCTAATTGTCCCCTTCAGTTTTTGCTGTCCTTATCAAAAGGAGCACGAGTGAACTTTCTAGGACCTAAACCACACTGTCAGTCCTCAGTCCCCCTTCCTCTCACATCACATTGCCTAGCCTGTGCTCTTCTAGTAACGTTGGTTTTCCATTTCTACACTTACAGCAGTGTGTAACTCCCATTTTTCATTATTGTACTTATAAGAACTGGTTTATGATTTATGAAGTTGGTTATTTACGACCACCTTGTCTTTGCTATTAGTCTGTGAGCTCCGTGAGCAAATCTCATCATTCTTATTAAACCACTTTATACCTTCACTATCCTTGGCATTTAGCAAGTACATATCACAAATTTTGTTTTTTTAATAAACTTGATGAATTTGGTCCTGTATATCACAGAATAGCCACTTCATTAAGCATGATTATGTATTGCATATCACCATATGATGGTAATTAGCCATAATATCCACTTCTTTGCTTTGTTTTTCCTTTAACATCAGTTACCATTTAGTTAAAATGAAAGCTCCACGAGAGCAGGAACCTTTGTTTTGTTCAGTGTCCTTTCTCTAGTGTATAGAACAATATTTAAAACATAGTTTTGTGTATTTTTTGAGATAGTGCATAGATGAATGAATGAACTCCCACAGATGTGAGACCTTTGAATTTATTCCTATGCAAAGCAGGCCAACAATTTTATTAGGTATCTGCTGAATGTTTACCATTTGCAAGGTAGCGTGAGTATAGAACTCTGTAAGTTCTGGTATCATTTCTGCTTTTGATTTATTTTTTATTAAAATATTGTTATAAATTCAGAATCACAGTGTGATATGTCAGTGATTTTCAAATTGTCCGAGCCCTTAATTAAACTGGCTCTTACAAAGTAAGTTAAGACTACAGTGGTTCTATGGTTATTCTTGACTCCATACTGCATTGTTAATTATATTTTACTTTCTGTTCAGACATGATTTTTTCACCCTCTAGTAATAACGTTAGGATCTTAACTTCGATTGGTTTATGTCTTGTTTGTCTTCTGAGTCTAAAGACAAAATAAAAGCATTTATAAACACATAATAAACACATAAACACAATAAAGTCAGTGTCGTAATGTTGCGCTTTCCCCATCTCTCCTTACAGTGTACTTTGATTTACTCACAGTATTAAGTTGATCCAGCGAGGACTTTGTTTAGGATGTTGTCAGAAGCAAAGAACAGAGTGGGGATGCTGTTCATTTCCAGCCATTATCTTCCTTTTTTTTCTACTTTAAGATGGTGTTAGTTTTGAAATACGAAACATCTTTCCTATTCTCCATATGTTGAAGAAAATCTTTAGTTCAGTTTTGATGTCAAAATGAGGTTTATGAACAAAATTGGGGAAATACATTCTCTAGTATATTTTTGGTTTGAAATATATGCTCATTTAAATTTTTTAAAATCTAGAGTAGAAGGATTGTGACTTTTTAATGAAGTACTTTAAAATTCTACAAGGGAAAAATACACTTTTATACTCTGTTACTTTGTACTTCTAAAATGTGTAAAAGCTTACTTTTTAATAACATTTTCACTTAAATAAGATTTGAAGATTTTATGATTTTTATTAAAATATATCCTTTTTGTTTCCCTGAATAAAATTTAGTTTCCAGTGTCCCCTCCCCCCCCCCGTACTGGGAATCGAACTCACAACCTTGCACTTGCTGGGCAGGCACTGTGCCTCTGAGCTAAATGCCCAGCCCCGCCCTGAATAAAATTTATTGTAGACATGAAAATATTGACTACCCTATGCTAAAATATTAGCTGATAAAGGTGTTTTCTTTGAAGGGAAAAGGGTACTATTCAATTTTTTTTTATCTCTGATAAATTTTTGTTGCTGATTTTTATGTCACTATTGATATACTTAGGTCAAGTATGAGTTTATGAGAGTTTATACCTTTCAGCCATCTGAATTAAATCATTACTTTGATGGGGGAGAAGAAACTGAGTAATAAAGGGAGCATGCTAATGAGTTTTTATAGCCTTTCCTATCTCTCAACTCTTCTGGTTTTGAAAAAATAGTACAGTTTTTACTACATTAGTGCTTGTAGTATATTTTAATAGGTTCCATTTTCTTCCATAGGATGAAGTGGCACACACTCTAACTGAAAGCAGAGTATTAAAGAACACTAGACATCCATTTTTAACAGTAAGTGACCATAAGACAGATGTTATAATCATAACATTTTAAATTTAAGGGAATTTTGTTATAGAAGCAAGACTATGAAAAATAACATTTATTTACTTTTGCCATTTTCTTTGTAGAAAGACTGTGAGTGAAAAAAATTTGTTAAATTGTTGGAATGTGTGGGTTAACTTTATAGTACATATGTACTTATAATTCTTCCTGTTACCACTGACTGCTTTTTGAGCTTCTTTTCCCCCCTCTGATGACTCTCCTTGCCATTAAAAAATAACTATAGAGCAAATAGATCATCTCTGGCATTTTAAAGAGTTCAGTAGGAAAATAGTAGACTTTAAAATGTTGTTTTAATTTATCTTTCTTTATTGGATTCAGATACATATTTAAATGAACAGGCAGCTATTGTATTCAAATATGAAAGGCAGAGATTTTAATTGACCACGTTTGGTAGAGAGACTGCTTTTGGGGATAGACTACTTTAGAAAGTACAGGAATACTCAATTCACTAAACATAGGATAAGTCCTTTTATTTTTTCTTCACCAAAGTATAAACTCACTTTCATGCGTTTAATGTGATTATTTTGAAACAAATTGAAATTTTTAGTCTGTTCTTAGGTTTCTTGTAATAGAGATAATTTACAGAGATGCTTCGTGTTTCTGGATCCAGTCAAGTATATTAAGATTAAAAATAACAGCTAGACTTTCAAAAGTAGAGCCTTCTATTAAAGTTTTAAGATTATCTAAAGTAAGAATTTTCAAAAGTGTCCCTAGGTACCCAGACTTAATTACATTATCATCCGTTTGTTGTCTGTTCTAATAAGATAACATTGTGATATCTTTTTATAACATATAAAATTACATGAACCAACTTTGTTGGATTGGGTCATATTATACATCCAGAATGCACAAAGTTACTTGAAATTATGTTCAAAACTTGAACATAACAAATATAACTATGTTCCTGAGATATGTGGGCTATACTGTAAGGTTGCACAGATGAGAACTTTAAGGAAAAATACCGTTTCAAATGTATGGCACAATAGACTGAGAAGTGTCATTGCATTTATTAAGTTAATATTTACTTACACAATTTTAATTATTTTCTAACAAAACCTATTGATAATCTGAACAAAATTTGTTTTACATTTCTTATAAACTTTTACTTACTCATTAAGAAGCAAATAGACTTGTAGAAACTATAACAGTTTGTTTCATTTATCGTGCTTACTACTTTTAAGTGTTCTAGTTTTGATGCCATTTTAATCAGAATGTAGGATTATAATACATCATTTTTTCTTTTTCATTTCAAGTCCTTGAAATATTCCTTCCAGACAAAAGACCGTTTGTGTTTTGTGATGGAATATGTTAATGGGGGAGAGGTGAGTCAAGAAGTAAACTGAATATTTGCATGGTGGTATTTTCATTAAAAACATTACTTAATGTACAAATTATAATAGTTCTCTACTGTATAGGGATTTCTATAGCTCTTCTAACTATTGAGTAGGTGAAAGCTGAACAATTTCTAATGAATTTTTATGATTGTTTTTATGTAATTTTGTATATTGGAAAAGTAAATCATATTCTCCTTTTTTCTGTATTTTTAAATGTAAAAAATTTTACTACAAGTGTGATTTTTGAAATCATGTTATTAAATTTTAGAAACAGAAAAAACAAGAAATACAGCAAGGCTTTATTATTTTTTATAAAGGTTTTCCTTACGTAGATTTTCTGTGAAATTTGTAAGAAGTTCTTTTGCCTATTTTGCATTCAATCCATAAGCACATTGTGGCTGAATTTTCACCTATATTGTAGCTGCAGAAGTAGGCTAGAGTGTTGATATTTTAAGAGATTTATGGGATGCTTTAGTTTTGAAGTGAAATTCAGTCATTTCAGTAGTACATTTTACTTCCTCTTTTATTCATTATTTTTTCTCTTCCATTTTTGGATAAAATCAATGTGAAGAAAAATGTACAAGAATAATTACATTGTATAATGTACATTTTGGGCTTTCTAAAATTAATTAAATAGGTAGGGGCTTATATCTTATGGACTTAAGAACATTCCTATTTTCTGAAATAAATAAATATCCTGTATAGGATATTTTCTTCTATAGACCCATGTGACACAGTAGAAAGAGTTTACTGCAAAACTTCGTTTATGTAGCTGGGCATGGCTGCACATACCTGCAGTCCCACCAACTCAGAAGGCCAAGGCAGGAGGACCACAAGTTTGAGGGTATCTTGGGCAATTTAGCAAGACCCTGTCTCAAGAAAAAGTTGTGGTGAGGACTGGAAGTACAGCTCAGTGCTCCCTGGGTCAATCCCCAACAGCACCTGCACTCACTCAAGGCACACAAAAATCTTTATTTGGTGAGCACGTTTTGAATGCCTACGTAGTGTGGGTTTATCTAAATATGTTAAGACAAAATCCTTGATATGAAGGAGTTTATAATTTTCCTTTCAAGTACATTGTAAATTAGAATATCTTAACACTTAAGTGATATAAATTCATATAAGTACATGCTCTATGAATAGTCTACCTTTTAAGGTAGATTTAATGAGATTACATCAGGAATCTGATTTAAGATCGTATTTCAGGCAGAGAGGAGCGGAGAGTCACTGGTGGATGAGCATAAGACAAAAAGAACAACCTAGACATGCAAACTGGGTACTTGCAGTCAGATGTCTGAGGCAATATCCATTAAAAAGTGTGAGACCCTCTAGTCTGGGCTGATACTGAAGTGAACAGAGCAAGATACATACTGTGAACTCCCATTGTGCTAGAAGAAAATGGGGGGACACTCACACGCATGTATGTATGTATATACCATATACCTCTCTAGTTATGGGCAAGATATTAAATCTGCCTTTTGGAAGCATAAACTGAATGTCTGGGGATAAAGTAGGAGGAAGACTACTTTTTAGGCATGTATTTTGTGGCTTTTGTGTTTTATATGACATACTGTGTTACCTATTCAATAATTAAAAATAGATGGATAGATGACCAGGGTAGAAAATAACGTAGAGAAGTTGATAAACTGATGACAAAAACTCGGGAAAAGCACTCCTACATGTCTCTGTTTTTTTGTATAGTCTCTTGTATTCACACCTATTTAAATGCTTTTCACATTGTTCTACCTGTCTGTTGCCACCACTCTTACGGGCCAAGGCGTGTGTTTACTGGCTACATACTACCTGCCACATAACAGGCTCCTAACAAAGATATATTGGATTATTTTGAATGAATAAATAGAATAATTACCTCAGGGAAAAGGGAGAAGTTCCCCTAAGAGGTAAAATAAGAAATACTGAAGAATAGGAAGAAAAATAAAGTATTATACTTACATAATTTGTTTTGGAAGGATTAAAAATGTAAATTCAGTACAGAGTATCTGAGGATATTGATAAGGTACATATTTTTTGAGTATCTATGCAAGGCATTCTGGTAGATATTGGTATCACATAAATGAGTTAAACATAAATCCTACCTTCAAAGGGTTTATACTCTACTGGGGAAAGTAGGGTACAAAAGCTCTACTAAGTGTAAAGAGTGTCATCTGTGTCAGATGCACAGTTGCTGAGCCCTGCGACTTCACAGGAGTGAAGGGGAGAAGGCTTCCCAGAGGGAGCTATCTGGCACTTGTACTTTTATTCTAAACATAGAATACTTAAGAGATTAATTAATTGATGATTGTTGAAAAAATTTTACACACAAAAGCAGATTCCCAGACTAGCCAGATGGTTCTCCTTAGAATTAAAACTCTTATCTTACTCCTTTTGTTTGGCATGTCATCTTTTTTCTCTCCAGAGTTTGTTTAGAGATTGGGTTTTAGATAAGAACTAAGTTACTTAATACCTTGAAGCAGATGAAATGATTCTATTATGACAATAACTTTAAAGTGCTTAGGTAGTAATAACAACGTTGCCAGATACGAGATAAAAGATTTAAATTATATTTAGCAGTTTTAGTGAAAGTGGAACTTTTATATATGTAATCCCAACTTTTTATTCCTTTAGATTATGCTAGTTTTTGGATATAACTTTCAGTTTCATGTCATTCTTGAAATCCTGTCATACTTACTCAGATTTCTCATTATTTGGCTGGCATTTTGTCTTATGAACCAAAATCATCTCATTTAAATTCACATAGGACAGAAGTGCCGGCAGTCAGCATTTGAGTTCCACTTCCTACTTTATGGAGGTGTGATTTGGGTGATTTTTAAATTAAAAGTATGATTTCATATTCATAGTGATGATTTTTAAAATTTTTACCAAGCTTTTAGATATATAAGTATCTTTATTGTCAGAAATCTGAGTTGCTAAATTTTGTTATATCAGAATTCTGTTGCTTTTTCCTGAATCTTAAAAAATTCTCAAGCCAAGAAAGATACATTATAATATTCACATTAGCATCTAAAGTTCACAGCAAAATAAAATTGAAACTTTATAATCCATTTCTAGCATACAGCTTTATAATATTTTAAGGCCCATTTTCTAAAATGAATCATTAAAGCTCTGACTTCATCTAAAGACATGATTAGCCTTAGTGTCTGAGGGGCTTACTGTACATTCTGCAGTCTCATACGGGTTGACTGGAAATGGAGCAACTGACCAGGCATCTGTTTTCATGATTATTCTCCTTGTGGTTGTGGCACAGAATGGCATTTTCATTTCTTAAACAGAGGTTGCCTTACGCTGAAGTAAGCATTTCAAGAGGGTACATAGGAAAAACCAGCACGGTGATGTAGCATCCTAGCACTCTCACAAGCTGAGGAGGATGACACGTTCAAGCCCAGTCTGGGAAACTTGGCAACTTAGTAAGACTGTCTCAAAATAAAAAAAATAAGGAAAGGCCTGGGGATGTTTCTCAGTGTGAAAGCCCTGAGATTAATCTTGAGTCTGTTTCCCCTGCCTCACCACCAAAAGAATATGTAATTGAAATCCCTGAGGTGGAAAAATAGTACAGTGACACATGTTTCACTTAACATAATAACTTAAAAAATTCATTGATATTGTGTATCTCAGTATCTTATTTTTATGAACTTATTTACTTGATATGTTTATACAGTCAGACATTTTGAGTTCTTTGCAGTCTGTGGCTATTACATAAAGAGCCCTTTAAATTTCAGTACAAATTATGTAAACATATATTTTCAGTTACCTTGGTTAAATGCCTATTAATGAAATATCTGTGTCATTTGCTGTATTCAACTTAAGAAACCACCACACCATTTTCCAAATTGGCTGAGCTGTTTTGTTTTCCCACCTTAACAGCATCACTGCACTTGGTATGTCATCTTTTTATTAATTATAATTATACTAGTTCTAGTGAATGTGTAGTGGTATCTTCTAGCCTTAATTAGAATTGCCCGAATAACAAATAATACTGAATGTCTTTGTCTATACTGATTTACAATTTGTATATCTTGTTAAAATCTTAGCTGCTTTTTTTTCTTAATTGGGCTTTATTCTTGATACTGAATTATCAGGTTTCTTTATATATTTTAGGTATAAATGCTTTATTATAACATGTTCTACAAATATTCTATCGTTTGTCTTTCCATTTTGT